AAAAAATCTGTCATGGATGAAGTCTATAACATTGGAGGTTTGGGATTCAAATTCTAAAGAGCTCTCAACAATGAACTCCTTAGAATAAAATAATCAACACGTCTCTCTAATAATAGCACCTATTGAGATATTAATTGTCGATATAACTGTTTTTATTCTGGAAATATTTTAAAGAGGTGTTTTTTTTCTTTTTAAAGTAGGTCCAGCTAAATGTCTGTTTTTGGGCGTTGTCTTTTCTCCCGTTCCCTGAACCACACACATGCGCACACACAGGCACAGACACACACCACACCACTTCCATACATTCACACACACACATGCACACTCATCCCCAAAATATTCTTTTTTTTTTGCTATTCTTGGTTCTTGGACTCTGGGTCTGGACACTGTCCCTGAGCTTCTTTTGCTCAAGGCTTAGCACTGTACCACTTGGGTGACAGCACCACTTCTGGCTTTTTCTATGATTAATTGGAGATAAGAGTCTCATGGATTTTCCTTCCTGGGCTGGCTTTGAACTGTGATCCTCAGATCTCAGCCTCCTGAGTAGCTAGGATGACAGACGTGAGCCACCAGTGCCCAGCAGTTGTAGAATCTTAATTCTGTAAAATCATGTGAACAGGCTGGGCACCGGTGGCTCACTCCTGTCATCCTAGCTACTCAGGAGGCTGAGATCTGAAGATGGACAATTGAAGCCAGCTTGGCTAGAAAAGTCCTGTGAGACTCTTATTTCCAATTAACCACTCAAAAACTCGAAGTGGTGCTGTGGCTCAAAGTGGTAGAGTGCTAGCCTGAGTGAAAAGCTCAGGGACAGTGCCCAGGCTCAAGTCCCATGACTGACAAAACAAAACCTCATGTAAACATCTGATATTTGTTTATTAATTGTTATGACTCTGATACATACTTCCATGCATGCTAGAATGAAAAACATAGCCTTTTTTGCTAGTAACGGGACTTGAATTAAAAGCCTGGGTGCTGTCTCTTAACCTTTTCACTCCAGACTGGCATGAGCCGCAGCTCCACTTTGGACTTTCTGCTAGTTAATTGGAGTTACAAGAGTCTCGCAGTCTTATCCGTATAGGCTGATTTCAATCCTCAGTCCTCAAATCTCAACCTCCTGTGTAGCTAGGATTACAGGTGTGAGCCAAGAGCCCCTGTCCTAAAATTTAGCCTCTTAAGGTCTTAGTAACATGGAGATAACATGGAGATATTATTGATATGTGAAATACTTATGCTCTGATGTCATCTATAAAATGATTATGCTTTATATACCAAGAACAAATAGAATATATGTATATATATACCAAATAGAATATATATGTATGTGTATGCATGTGTGTGTATGCGTGTGTGTGTGTGTGTGTGTGTGTGTGTGTGTGTGTGTGTAGATATACACACTCTAGACCAAACACCAGATTAAATTATAAGTAAATTCTGGGTGCTGGTGGCTCATGCCGGTAATCCTAACTACACAGGAAGCTGAGATCTGACCATTGCAGTTCAAAGTCAGCCTGGGCAGAAAATCTTTGAGACTCTTATCTCCAATAAACTACTCATTAAAAGCCGGAAGTGTACAGCACTAGCCTTGAGTGGGGGTAAAAAAAGCTCAAGGACAGTGCCTGGGCCCTGAGTTCAAGCCCCAGGACCTACCTGTACATAACACACACACACACACACACACACACACAAACACACACACAAACACACACACACACACGTAAATGGTAGATATTTGCAGTTTTCTTCTGTAACTTAATAAGTTCTTATAAATACACAGTAATATATATTATATAAATATTATATATATGTATATATACATATATATAGACAGAGAGAGGGAGAGAGAGGAGAGGATACTACGAAAAAGTTCTTCCTGAATGGAGGATTTCAGGCGTCTTGTCCATCTGAACTAATGGCCCTCCAGGGACTCACTCCATCCCTGGGGACTTTCCCTCATCACCATGGCAACAGACAATCTCCTCTCTACCACCAGAAAGACAACCCCCTCCCCGCCTACTTCCACTCACATCCCATAGCTTCATTCAAACGGTGCATACTTTGACTACCCAGACCAGCAATGATCTCGTGTGAAATACACACCCAATGTCATAGTAAATCTGCTTTAACTAGAGAAGAAGTAAAGGTTTGGTTTGGTTTTGACTTCATTTCCATTCTGGCAACATCTAGATTTAATAATACTAGAACTAGATAAAGGCGCTAATATGACAACATTCAATGATTCAATGACCTAAAAGTCCACTGCTTTGTATTTTGATTTCCTTTTCTGTTGGAAAAGAAAACAAGGACCAGGAGGTCAGCTCATGAACGTGATGTAGAATTTTTACCTAATTAGTAAAAGGAAATCTAGAGGGACATACAGGGGCGTCTTTTAGTGCATTTTCTGAGGCTATACCAAAATACTGGATGCTGGGTAATGGACAAAGAAAAGAGATTTATTTAGCACACTGCTTTGAAGACTGCAAGTCCAAAGTCAGGTCACTAAATCCATTCAGTGCCCAATGAGGGCTTCACTGTTGAAAATGTATTGGGGTATTGGGGTACTAGGTAGGAATAAGGATACCAAGGCCAAAGGAATTAAACAAGGAAACACTGGCTTTTGCAGAAGGGTGTGTGACTGGCAAAAATTTCAACTATGCAGGCACACTTGGCAGGAAGTCTGGCCAAGTTTTACCCTAATGGTGCTCCTCATTCTGATTGGTCAGAACTCAGGTTCACAGATACTGTACCATTGGCCAGTTTGAAGGGAGTCAAAAAAGTTGTCAATGGTGTAGTATAAGTAACAGAATTTCTTCACTAAAGTGTAAACAGGGACAGGAGGTAACTAAAATACACCCACCCAGGTCCACCCCACTCCCCAGAGGAGTACCATCGGTGTTCTCGCTTCTTCTTTTCTGGTCTCCTCATTGTTAAATCAATTGCATAATAATCTTTAAGTAGTTGTCCCCAGGGATTGCAATTCAACCAGTCAGTTTTGGAGTACAACACATCTCCATCCACCCTTCCATCATTCTCTCCCGCCTCTTCCGGCCCCGCCCATTCCCCTCGATGAGTTTTTGTTCACCTGCGTCCAAGTTCCCGTATCTACATTGATTATCATGGCTGCTTTTGCCCACCCTGCTCTTTGCATCTGATCACTCTTCCTCCCAGACCTCTGCTCACAGCCGTGAGGCTAGATGTGCAATCCAGGGTGGGCTGTACACTCTCCATGCCCACGTTTCCTCCTCCCTACACCTCCAAGGTACTAGCCTCAGACCTGGCTGTGGTTGCTATGGTACATGAAGAGGTGACACAGTATCAGCCATTATCACCACAGTACACCAGGTTATTGTTGGCTATGATTGTTATACTATTATTTGGGAGGCTAGGCTTAAATGAAGAAGATAATAAGCTTGTACCGGGAGATTACTTTTTGTTGTTGGTTGGTTGTGGGGCTTGAACTCAGGGCCCAGGCTGTGTCCCTGAGATCTATTTTTATTCAGGGCTAGTGCTCTACCACATTGAGTCACAGCTCTGCTTCTGGTTTTCTGGTGGTGCTTTGGAGTTAAGAGTCTCACAGACTTTCTAGCCTGGGCTGGATGGAAGCACTGATCCTCAGATCTCAGCCTCCTGAGTAGCTAGGCTGACAGGTGTGAGCCACCAGCAACTGGCTGAGATTGCTCTTATAGCACAAGTTCATTTACTGTTCAGGCCCACAAAAGCTTATTGAACAATGACAGCAGCCAGACTGTGGTAAAGTTTTCACCATGGGTTTATTTTATACATTTGCACTTTGACCCTGTATGTTATTTTTCAAACTGCATCCATTTCAGCCTTGCCAGGGAAGTTGCTCCAATAATGGTGAATAAGGGCTGGGGAAAAAGAAAGAATAAGTAAAATTTAAAGGTGTCTGGAAATGATTATTCAAGTAGTGATCTATGTATGTATGCATGTGCACACTCACTAAGCTACAAAATTCCTGAGTGGATTTGACTTAAAGCATTATCTCTGAAAGATATTCATCTATAGAATAAGCTTATGTAATTTACAGACAGTGCAGACAGTTTGATAAAAGATATTAATTCAGATAAGCATCCGGCTAGATGGCACTGGCTTAAACCTGTAATCTTAACTACTAAGGAAGCTGAGACCTGGAGAGTAGTGCAAAGCCAGCCTGAGCAGAAAAGTTTGCAAGACTCTATCTCCAGTTAACTAACAATAAGCTGGATGTGGGCGTGTGGCTCAGATGGTGGAGCTCTAACCTTGAATAAAAAACCTAGTGAGTCTGAGAACCCTGAGTTCAAGCCCCAATACTGATACAAAAGACAAACCAACAGATAGACAACAGAGATAATACATAGATAGATAATACATAGATTATAGATGACAGATAGATAATAGATAAACACAGACATAGCTAATAGATGAAAGATAAATGATAGATGATAGATAGATAGATTGATTGATCAAATAAATACTCCAATGGCTTTCTGGGATGACATGGCTATTCAGGAAAGAGCCCATTACTAAGTTATTGAAGGATTTTTATCTTCAGCCAGGCTTGGTGGTACAAGCTTGTAATCCACATGATAGGGAAGAGGAGGCAGGAGGCTTGTGAGTTGCAGGGGAGCCTGGTCTAACACAGATGTGAACAAAACCGAACTTACAAATGAAAATAAAGATCTCAGTGGGGTGCTGGTGGCTCACACCTGTCATCCTAGCTACTCAGGAGGCTGAGATCTGAGGATCAAGGTTCAAAGCCAGGCCCTGGGGGCAGGACAGTCTGTGAGACTCTTTATTTCCAATGAGCCACCTAAAACCAGGAAATGGCATTGTGACTCAAAGGGGTAGAGCACTGGCCTTGAGCACAAAACAAAAACGCAGCGCCAGCGCCCAGGCCCTGAGTTCAAGTCCCACAACTGACCAAACGGTCAATCGATCGATTGATCTATCCATCCATCAGTAATAAATAAACGAAATGAAGCGCTCCCTCTTTTCTTTTCCAGCCTGACCATCTCCGCCGAGTGCCCCATGCAGCTGGAGGACTTTCCCATGGATGCCCACGCCTGCCCTCTGAAATTTGGTAGCTGTAAGTTCTGCTCTTACGGGGCGCCGTGGGGACACGGGTGGGGGTTGTGAACGCTGCACCCACTCGGAAGACACGCGGAAGGCTCCGTGTAACACAAGCGGTGCACGCTGGGTGAGAAGACCACACCAGCTTCTCCAGCATACAGAAGGTGACTGGAGGCACAGAACAATCTAGAAGGAGCTCCTCTGCAGGTGTTTTTCTCAGGTCTTCTCCTGGCAGCCTGGTCTGGGTTCCTCCTCCCAGGTGACAGCTCATCCCCCTAGATGGTTTCCAATCCATTCTTTGTGCCAGCAGCAGAAGCACAGAGACCTCACAGCCCCAGCCCAGTCCTGCCATTCCTTCCTTCTGGGAGACGGAGAGATTCTTCTGGCTCGCCTCTGTGGAGCGGGGCTGGGGCGGGCTGTAGTGTCTGGGGCTGGGGCGGGCTGTAGTGTCTGGCTCTGAGTCCCATCCACCTGCTGCCTTCTTCTAGGAGTCAGTGACCGCTGTCCCAGGGAGACAAGATTGTTCTGGATCCCATCAGAGCTCTGAGACAAAGCAGTCCTACAGACAGACAGACAGTCCTGGGTAGCCCACAGAGAAGTCGGGACACTGGACACTTGGGCTGTGTCTATGTCTTCTCCTCCTTAGGGAGAATCTGAGTTTTCTCAGCCCTTTTTTAACTGAGTTGAGCTATCAGGGAAGGGACTATAGGAGTATGTTGGCTACCAGCTCCAACTATTTATCTGCTCTCCTTGACCTCCCAGGCCAGGCCTCTTTTATTTTCTTGGTTTTTATCTTCGCCCCTGGTATCTTAGCTTTGTGAGGTACCTGAGCGTGTGTGTGTGTGTGTGTGTGTGTGTGTGTGTGTGTGTGTGAGAGAGAGAGAGAGAGAGAGAGAGAGTGTGTGTGTGAGAGAGAGAGAGAAAGAGAGAGAGTGGATGTGAGGTAATACAGAAATCTGTCCCTCGAAAATCTGGATGTGGGATGTATGAGCCACTCAGTTACACTGCAGAGACTCTGGTCTCGATTGAGTATAGACTATATTTAGATTATTTGTAGATTATTAGATATGCAGATTATGTCAATATATAGATATATCTACATCTAGATATAGGTTATATAGATTATATCTGGACTTGTTTGCTTATAGATTATTTGATATGGTGTATATGAAACAGCATAGTGTGATGTAATTCGGGTATATATTCTTTTCTTACTTTAGATAAACAGATCAGCGATAGTTGGTAAATGGATAGATGCAAAGATACATAGATAGACAGATGAGATTCATAGGTGACGGATAGGTACATAGATCATAGAAAAATAGATAGAGAGCGTGATTGATTGATAGCAACAGACAGACAGATAGATATAACCAATTAACTTGGCTGAGTTCAGTCTCCAGACTGTCCTTCCTCAGTAAACAAAGGCTGAAATGTCAGGAGAGTGTCTTGTCTTAGCTGGGCTAGGGCAAAATCATCCTTCATTAATCCAGGGAGTCTTATTCTCCATGCATGCCAGCGCACGGAGCAGGGGGGAGTTAGAGATCTGAGCAGTGCCCATGACCCTGGGCACACATCAGTTCTGGGGCTCCCTCCTGCGTCTCCTTTCCTTCACGGACTTTACATCTCATTTTTCCAGCTGGTTCAAATACTGGCTGCTCCAAGGGTTCCAGATCCTTCCTTTTGGCTCTTCTGGCCAGCCGGACTGGGCAACTCTGTCTGAAACTCAGTGGGCACACAGTAGCGTGACTCACCGTGTCGCAGGTGAAAAGCCCCTCCTTGGTCTCTGCTCCCTCTCCAGTGCTCCGGGGAGTCATTTGTTACCCCGTGTGCAGAATGAATGTTTGCTTAGCTCATGGAAGTCACTTTACCAGCTCAGCCAGTGGAGCCTTTCTGACCCCAGGGGTTTTATTGCATTTTTTTCCCCTGTCATCTCAATGACACTTTTGGAATTAAGGGAGATATGTGTGTATGAGGAAAGGCATGTTTGATTGGATAGAAATAATAATTCCTCCTCCTCCTCCTCCTCCTCCTCTCCTCCTCTTCTTCTCCTCCTCCTCCTCCTCCTCCTTCTTCATCTTTTTGTTAAACTGTGATCCACAGAGAGGTAGACATTTATCAGAGGGGAATGGTAGAATGGACAAGCTTGTGACCAGGGTTTATTCGAATTATTTGCTCCAAATGAGTCAAATCATGGAAGAATAATTGTTCCTAGACCTGGAGGAAAATTAGCTACATGGTTTGAAATGATGCCATTCTTTGTGTATGAAAATTATGCGTTTATTTGATTTTTAAAAATTGAAAGGTTGAAAGTGGATGGTGATTTTATTTTACCTTTTTTTTTTTGCTATGCTGTGGGGGTCTCTGTGGTCGCTGGTTAAGTGAATTCAGTTTACTGTGATCTCTGGATTTAACAGTGATATTGTGTAGGCCAGGTAACTCAAAAGCAGTTTTCAGTTTGTGACAAACATGCTTTTTTGGTATAGGTCCTGAGGCTTGAACTCAGGGCCTGGGCTCTGTCCCTGAGGTTCTTTGCTCAAGGCTAGCACTCTACTACATGATGCTGGATGCTGGTAGTTCAATCTTAGCTCAACAGGAAGCTGAGATTAGAGAGCGCTAGTCTGAAGTCAGCCCAGGCCGACAAATCCATGGATACACTTATCTCTACCAAACCCCCCAAAGCCAGAAGTGATTCTGTGACTCAAATGGTAGAGTTACAGCCTTGACTGGAAAAAGCCAAGCAAGAGCCAGAGGCCCTGAGTTCAAGCCCTAGTAACAGCAGCAACGAACAAACAAACAAAAAAGATTAATTTGGTCAATACTGAGGTGTATCATTTATTTCTATTTGCCATTTAATATCATTACTAGAATATGCTAAATGAACAGAAGGATTTTATTTACAAAGTGTATCTGTATACAATTGACCATGAGCTAGAGAACTATGCAAATACCATCTTTCCACAGCTTATATGGTTTTTAAATTAGGCTATATAATTTTTTAAATGTGTATATGTGAATATATGTATATATATGGATATGTGTATATATACACATATGTATGCATGTATGTATATATACATACATACATACATATATATATATGTACATACTGGGACTTGAACTCAGGACCTTGGTGTTGGAGATAAGGATTAAGGATCTCACAGACTTTTCTGTCTTGGCAGGCTCCAAACCTCAGTCCTTAGATTTCAGCCTCCTAAGTAGCTGAGATTACATGCAGGAGAAACTGACACCAGCTTAGACATATATTGTGGGGAAAGAAATACTTAACTAAAAGTTTTTCTTACTCTTCTCTCTCTTTTTTTTTTTTTGGTCAGTTGTGGGGCTTGAACTCAGGGGCCTGGGCGATGTCCATGAGCTCTTTTATTCAAGGCTAGTGTTCACCCACTTTGAGCCACAGCACCATTTTCTGGTTTTCTGATACCTAATTGGAGATGAGTCTCATGGGCTTTCCTGCCCAGGCTGGCTTTGAACCACGATCCTCAGACAGATCTCAGCCTCCTGAGTAGCTAGGATGACAGGCAAGAGCCACCAGTGCCTGCCCCTTCCTTTCTATCTTTATTTTTCTTTCTTTCCTTTTTGATTTACTAACAATAGATGCTCAGTCAACTGTTCACTTAGTACCACCAGCCGTGCAGAAGCTAAATGTGTGAGTATAATGAGTTTCAAATTACCCAATTCCTCCGTTCTTTGCTATTAGGAGACAAAGGAATGCAAATATGTGTGGTTATTCTAATGAGCCACATGCTCCTGGTTTCTCTAATGCAAAAGCGAATTAACAGACATCTCTGTGATTGCTGCCTCTGTCCTCAAGCATTCAAACGAAATTATCCCTAGCTTCTAGAGGTAGACTCCCTAGTCTGAAAGAAAGTTCCTGAAAGATAATAGCACAGCTTGCTTCCATTTGTAAGCCTGTGCTTAAACGGATGAAAACGAGTTGAAAGGAGAGGGAGAAAAAAGTTCCTAAATTTTTGTTCATTTTATTCATGGAATAATGAGTTAAATATTAGATTAAGTCATGTGATAATGTCTAGATTCACGAAAATATATAGTCAATTAAATTAGAACTGGAGGGTTCTTTTTTTTCCCTCCCTCCCTCCCTTCCTCCCCTCCTCCCCTCCTTCCTTCCTTCCTTCCTTCCTTCCTTCCTTCCCTAGTCCTAAGGCTTAAACTCTGGGCCTGAGCACTGTCCCTGAGTGCCTTTTGCTCAAGGCTAGTGCTCTAATTCTTGACCCACACTCCATTTTCCACTTGTTCTGTTATTAATTGGAGATCAGAGTCTCATGGACTTTCTTTCCTAGGCTGGTTTGAACCACAATCCTCGTATCTCCACCTCCTGAGTAGCTAGAATGACAAGCATGAGCCACCAGTGCAGAGAGTCATTATTTTTTATTTCCTTTCTAGTCAGTAAAATCTTCCTGAGGGCTGGGAAGGTGGCTCAGTGGTAGAGTGCTTGCCTTGCATGCATGAGACCCTGGGTTCGATTCCTTAGTACCACGTAAGTAGAAAAAGCTAGAAGTGGTGCTATGGCTCAAGTGGTAGAGAACTAACCTTGAGCTGAAATGCTGAGGGGCAGTGCCCAGGCCCAGAGTTCAGGCCCCATGACTGACAAAAACAAAAACAACAACAACAAAAAAAAAACCCAAAAAACCAACTTCCTGATTTCTAAAAGGCAATACAAATAAGATCTGATTATAGCCGGGCACCGGTGGTTCACGCCTATAATTCTAGTTACTCAGGAGGCTGAGATCTGAGGATTGTGGTTCAAAGCCAGCCCCAGCAGGAAAGGCCATAAGACTATTACCTCCAATCAGCCACCAGAAACCCAGAAGTGGCGCTGTGGCTCAAGTGGTAGAGTGCTAGCCTTGAGCTGAAGAGATGAGGGACAGCACCCAGGCCCAGAGTTCAAGCCCCACAACTGACCAAAAAAGAAAAGATCTGAGTGTATATACCATAAGCCACTTGTACTCAGGGTTTGCAATGCTAAAAAAAAGTCAGACGGTGTCAACCCCGGGGGGAGAAGTATGAATCCCTATAGATTGTAGAGAAAATGTTTCCATTCTTCTCACTCAGCTGATGCACAGTTGGAGAAGGAAAGCCCTGTATTTCTAGGTCCTCTAAGTCACCATTCCTGTTATCCCAGCTAAAGAGACCAAAAGCCAGCTGGGTGCCAGGGTCCTCACGCCTGTAATTCTAGCAACTCGGGAGGCTGAGATCTGAGGATCGTGGTTCAAAGCTAACCCAGGCAGGAAAGTCCCTGAGACTCTTAACATCCAGTGAACCACCAGAAAACCAGAAGTGGCACGGTGGCTCAAAGGGATAGAGCGCTAACTTTGAGCAAAATTGCTCAGGGACAGCGCCCAGGCCCTGAGTTCAAGTCTTACAACCGACCAAAAAAAAAAGTTCTTTGTTATTCTGACCCAAGCCTTGGGCTCCTTTCTGAGCTGTCAGATTTGTGCATCTCACCCCAGTTATCCCCTCTAAGAGCCATGAAAGCCTATCTTTCAATAAACTTCTAATGCCTCTTTCCTGTCTCCGGGAGCCCTTGGCAAAGGCCTGATGCACAGCCCTGGTGGTGTGTCTGGTGTGAGGTGGACGGCAGAATAGGTACAGGCCAGGGTCCCAGGACCAGGCCAGGGTCCCAGGACAAAGGGAACGGAATGGGCCTGAGAAAGCCTGGGGACGGCGGGAAGTGGGACTTGCTCCTTGCTGAAGCGATGCTGCCTCATTAAACCTCCTCTCTGCCCAGTCCACATTTCTACCCTGGCCAGAATCCATCATGGCTGTTCTGCTCAAATCCTGAGTTGTACAGCCTTTCATTAGTCAGGGCACCACAACATTTACATAATCGGAAAAGGATAGACAGCTCACGGGCACTATAACGAGGCTCCATTCACGGTACATGCCCAGCAAAGCATGTGAGCAGACATGTACAAGGCCACTTTCCAAGAAAGAAAGAGAGCAACATTACCTACCCACTCACTCCAGCCCCCTGAACACTCTAACCATCGGCGTTACATACGTATCCCCAGGAGAGATGAAAACCATGACATCAGCCCTCTACTGAGCACTGTTCATAGGAAACCCAGCTTCACTTTCCCTAAACTTGACAACAGAAGGTCCTGCTAGTCAGGCACTAGTAGCTCATGCCTGCAATCCTAGCTACTCAGGAGGCTGAGATTGGAGAACTGACCTTTGAAGCCAGCTCAGGGAAGGAAAGTCCTCGAGAATCCTATCTCCAATTAACTAGCAACAAGCCAGAAGTGGAGGTTTGGCTCAAGTGGTAGAGTGACATAGCCCTGAGCAGAAAATGCTAAAGGATGGCTGAATGCTAAAGGTCCTGAGCTCACATCCCACTACTGGCACATACACACACTGACAAAAGGTCATGGTAATTAAAACAGGCCTGATAAGAACTTTGCTCAGCATCTACCTGCAGTATGAACTGAGCATAGCTTCTATGGAGATTCATGGACGGAAGGAAGGAAGGAAGGAAGGAAGAAAGAAAGAAAGAAAGGAAGGAAGGAAGGAAGGAAGGAAGGAAGGAAGGAAGGAAGGAAGGAAGGAAGGAAGGAAGGAAGGAAGAAAGAAAGAAAGAAGAAAGAAAGAAAAGGAAGGAAGGAAGGAAGGAAGGAAGGAAGGAAGAAAGAAAAAAGAAAGAAGGAAGGAAGGAAGAAAGAAAGAAAGAAAGAAAGAAGGAAGGGAGGAAAGAAAGGAAGGAAGGAAGAAAAAGAAAGGAAGGAAGGAAGAAAGAAAAAGAAAGGAAGGAGAAAGAAAGAAAGAAAGAAAGAGAAGGAAGGAAGGAAGAAAGAAAAAGAAAGGAAGGAAGGAAGGAAGGAAGAAAAAGAAAGGAAGGAAGGAGAAAGAAAGAAGAAAGAAAGAAAGAAAGAAAGAAAGGGAAGGAAGGAAGGAAGAAAGAAAGAAAGGAAGGAAGAAAGAAAGAAGGAAAAGAAAGAAAGGGAGGGAGGAAAGAAGGAAGGAAGGAAGAAAGAAAGAAAAAGAAAGGAAGGAAGGAAGGAGAAAGAAAGAAAAGAAAGGAAGGAAGAAAAGAAAGGAAGGAAGGAAGGAGAAAGAAAGAAGGAAAGAAAGAAAGAAAGAAAAGGAAGGAAGGAAGGAAGGAAGGAAAGAAGGGAGGGAGGGAGGGAGGGAGGGAGGAAGGGAGGGAGGAAGGGAGGGAGGGAGGGAGGGAGGAAGGGAGGGAGGAAGGAAGGGAGGGATGGAGGGAGGGAGGGAGGGAGGGAGGGAGGGAGGGAGGGAGGGAGGGAGGAAGGGAGGGAGGGAGGGAGGGAGGGAGGGAGGGAGGGAGGGAGGGAGGGAGGGAGGGAGGAAGGGAGGGAGGGAGGGAGGGAAAGCAAACACTTCCTTTCTCCTCCTCCTCTTCCTTTCTCCTCCTCCTCTTCCTTTCTCCTCCTCCTCTGCTCCCCACTGGCTCTTGGATGACTTTGATGTCACCTCTTATTTCTGTCTTTTCCCGCCTTGTGCCCTGTGCTTCTGTCTCATTCGGCCTCAATGGTTCTTTTATTGCCAAGTAGGAAGAGGTCAGGTCTTGGCCTAAATCCCATCCTCCGTGTCTTTCTGGCTCAGCTGAAAGCGGAATGCCTTCTAATGGCCTTGGGCCCTGTTTCCTCCCCTCACATCATCTCACTGCATGCCCAGCTTTCCTTCAGCATTTCGGGCATGCCTCTGGCTCTTTGCACCTGCTGTTCAGTTTGTCTGGGACTGTCTTACTCCCCAGGGCCACAGGGCTGGACCCTGAACATTCTTTGGATCCCCTAACTTAGCCCAGCTTGGATCGACCCACTTAAGATTCTGCCTCCCAAGGTGGACCATCATAACCATCAGTCTGTTAAACCCAGCCGGAGGCAGGGGTAGGAGGAAGATTGGGAGAGTGAGGTCAGTTGGGCTACAAAGTGAAATTCAAGGTCGCCTCAGAAATAGAACAAGACTCTGTCTCAAAACAGTAGCAATTACAAGGAAATGATGCCTCCTCCTCTTCAGTCCTACGAAGAACTTTACTGCCATATCTCATTCTATCTATCTATCTATCTATCTATCTGTCTGTCTGTCTGTCTGTCTGTCTGTCTGTCTGTCTGTCTGTCTGTCTGTCTGTCTGTCTGTCTATCTATCTATCTTATCTATCTATTTATCTATCTGTCATGTGTGTATGTGTGCATGTGTGATATTTGTCTTTTTCCTTCAGAACACATTTCTCAAGAACAGGGTCTTTCATTTTTGCTTGCCTACCTTGATTTTCTATTGCTTCTGTAACAACTTATGAAGAACCTAACAGATTAAAATAACTCACAAGGAGCCAGGAACTGGTAGCTCACCCCTGTAATCCTAGCTACTCAGGAGGCTGAGATTTGAGGATCATGATTCATAGTTCCCCGGGCAGGAAAGTCTGTGAGACTCTTATCTCCACTCAACTACCAAAAATGTCAGGGACAGTGCCCAGGCCCTGAGTTCCCCAGGACCAACACATAGACACACACACACACACACACACACACACACACACACACACACACACACACACACGTGTGTTATTTCTATAGTGTTTTTTTTTTATCTTGTCAGTCGTGGGGCTTGAACTCTGGGCCTGGGCGCTGTCCCTGAGCTCTTCAGCTCAAGGCTAGTGCTCGACCACTTGAGCCACAGCGCCACTTATGGTTTTCATTCTTACCTTTCAGAGACATACACACGCCCCCCCCCCAATCACGTCTTAGCCTCCCCCATCCTCCATCTTGAAGATCCACGCCCCTCGCACAGACCATGCCACCTGCTCATCTGGAGGACATCGCTGCATTGCAAGGAGATTGGTCCACCAGGGTGACCTGGGATAATCTCCTGCCTTTAAGGCCCATCACCTCCATTCCATCTGCACAGTACCTTTTGCCATGTGAGGTAACACATTGGCAGGTAAGACAGGGGACACAGGACCTGTTTGCCCTGCCAGCCCTGCCACCCTGCCGCCTCAGGATGGCTGTGTATCATGGAGAAGAGGAAGAGGGAAGCTGAAAGTAGGAATGTCGGCGGTGCTCCACACACAAATGTCACTGTGCGAGGCACGCTGCCAACCGAGACCCCGAGATCATCCCCCATTCTACAGATAGATGGACTGAAGCTGGTTGAGAGTCAGAGTGCTGCAGAGACCCTGGCTCCCGGCCTCAGAGCTGCTGCTCGCTTCCCTGCTACACAGAAAAAAGAGCTGGGCATGGGTGGCTCACACCTATAATCCCAGCCACTCAGGAGGCTGAGATCTGAGTACCGTGGATCAAAGCCAGCCTGCACAAGTCCCAGAGACTCTTATCACCAGTGAACCACCAGAAGACTGGAAGTGGTCCTATGGCTCAAAGTGGGAGAGAGTTAGATTTGAGCAAAAAGAGATCAGGGACAGCATTCAGGCCCTGAGTTTGAACCCCATGAATAACAAAAAAAGTAAGGAAAGAAACAGAGAAACAGACAGAGAGAGGAAGGAAGGGAGGGAGGGAGGGAGGGAGGGAGCTCCAGAGGGAGGGAGGGAGGAAGGAAGGGAGGGAGGGAAGGATGAAAAAAGGAAAGGAAAGAAAGAAAGAAAAGAAGGAAGGAAGGCAGGAAAGAAAAAGGAAGGAAGGAAGGGAGGGAGGGAGGGATGAAAAAAGGAAAGGAAAGAAAGAAAGAAAGAAAAGAAGGAAGGAAGGCAGGAAAGAAAAAGGAAGGAAGGAAGGAAGGGAGGGAGGGAGGGAGGGAATCTGCACACCCAAAGCACAGGGCTCTAGCGCTTCGCACCGGGCCATTTTGAAATGGGAAGGGCTGAAGGGCGACAGGCCATCTTACACTCTGGTGTCACTTGAACACTAACTTTGCAAATGTCCTCCTGATCACCATGGCCACCATCTCTCTTGCTACTCTGATTACCATCTTTGTATTTTCCAATCCGGAATGAACGATTTGTGTGAATGCCGCCTTCTGCCCCTTCCTTTCCAGATGCATACCCTAATTCTGAAGTTGTTTATGTCTGGACCAATGGTTCCACCAAGTCTGTGGTGGTGGCAGAAGACGGTTCCAGATTGAACCAGTATCATCTCATGGGGCAGACAGTGGGCACGGAGAACATCAGTACCAGCACAGGTGAGAGGAGATCTCCTGCCAGGCCGGGGTTGAAGGAGGTCACACCATACCTCATCAGGGGGGCAGGGAGAACCATATTGGAGGGACACCCACACCAGGGCTGCAGGGCCCAGGGCACAGAGTGGATGAGGGACATTTGCCACTGTGTGAGCCGGCCCTGCGGGGACGCTGTGTTGATCTGCTTATGTAATACCGAGCTGCAGAAATCTCTGCGGGAAAACAGATGCAGCCAGCTACCTGCTCCTCCACCACCTGCTCTGAATGGTTTTCTGAAAAAGAGGGAATCCAGCCTGATTTCACCTGGTAGGTCCCGTGTGATTGGACAAGAAGTCCAAAGGAATAGTGTGTGTTTGTCCTCCGCAAGCCTTCCCATTTTGTGGTGAGAGGTAATGCCTGGCAAAGGGCAAAGCTGGCTCCTACCAATCACAATGACTTTGTGGCCAGGCCCCAGGGACTCCCACCAGTCATCCTAGCTATGCAGGAGGCTGAGATCTGAGGATCATGATTAGAAGCCAGCCCAGGGCAGAAAAGTCCCCGCAGGACCCTTAATCTCCAATCAACCACTCCCAAACCAGAAGTGGCGCTGTGGCTCAAAGCGGTAGAGTACTAGCCTTGAACAAAAGAGCTCAGGGAATGCATCCAGGCCCCAAGTTCAAGCCCCAAGATCAACCCCTCCCCCCAAAAAAAGATGGTACTGTGACAGGGGAGAGAGGAGTCAGGGCCATTGTGTCATCATTTAGCAAAGGGAACGTGCAAAGCAAGCTCTGGTTACAGGACTTGACATCAGCCCCACAGCCCTTCCTTGGTGAATCTTAACTCGGCCAGCACCATTCACCTGATCTGTGGTGGTCCTACCACAGATACCTTGAGACGTTGCCGCATGTATCCACCACCACTCCATCTGAGCCCCGCCCATACCTCAGAAGGATGTTATTTGGTTAGTGTGCCAATGGGAGAGGCAATGGAGCCATCCATAAATGGAGGATGAGGCGGTGGGGTGAAGGTTTGGGGTTAGAAAGTGTGGTGCTGACAGAATGCTACCACATGAAATTGTCCACAATCGTTTGGGCCTGTTTGTTTGTAATGGTTTTATTTTGTGTACAACACTTCTTTTTTTCTTTTTAAACAAACCTGAGATGTCTGTCTTTCACTTATATCCTCCAAAGAAAAGAACCAGAACCAAACACCGCTCAAGAAGTAGAACGGTGTTTGGGGCATTAAGATGGAGGCCAAAATCATCCTGGCCATTAGGCATCCTCCGCTTCCCCTTCCTCTCTTTCACCCCTGTGCCTTTCTCCCAGGTTAGAGTCAGCTGCATCCATCCATCCCCAACCCCCTGCCCCCCCCCCACCTGTCCTGCAGCTCTGGGGTCTCCAGCCCACGGCACCCTGTCTTAGCACAGCTGAGACGTTGGGCTCCTTTTTCTGGTTTGATCACATCCTGTGATCCATCTTCCAGGCTCCTCAGTCTCCTGAGAGGCAAAGCACCCAAGAACACCACGGTCAGCTTTGCTAAGCGGACAAAGACGCAGTACGCAAGCGGGATGTCCTCCAACATCCTCCTGTCCTGTCCAACGAGCCAACGGATGACCCTTCCCACACCTGAGACCCGCCCCATCATCCCAGGACTGCTTCCCCCGCCCCTGGCAATTCCAACCAGCCCCTCTTAGCCCTCCCTCCTCCAAACATCCTTCTCAGTTCTCCAGGGGGTGTTAGTGAAGACGATGGTGGTCCAGCAGGCCTGGCTCCCCTCTGATCCACAGGGTCCCCCCCCACCCCGCTACCTCCCAGGGCACCTCAGCTCCTTACCAGTTCACCATCAGGACAGCATCATTCTCCGCAAAGAAGGGGAGATCTCCGCTCGCCTCCCACACCGCCAGGCAAATCCACAGAAGGCACTGGGACATCACCCAGGAAATGTCCCCGATTTCCAGGAAAAGCCAGGACACCCTGTGTGTGTGTCTGGAGGGCCAGGGTCTCGGGGCCTCTCGAAAGGCTGTTCTGTACTGAACTTGGGCGAGCAGAGAGTCTGGGGAGAGATGATGGCTACCCTTTCTCCCTGGCACTGGGCGATAGGAAGACTCCGTCCACCCACACCAGGGCTCTGAGGTGTTCCGTGTCTGTCTCCAAAGGCTAAATCCAGAGATCCTGATTGCAGGAACCGCCACGGGGGAGGGCAGTGGGGAGGGGAGCCAGGCACAGATTGTGACCCAGGGATTAGAGAAACACACAAATCTGATTTTCTCTGGGGAAAGCATCCACATGCAGCTCTTCAGAGGCGGAGGGTGGAAAAGGATTCTGAAGAGCTTCTTCGTCTTCCTCCACCCTCTCCTTAAGTCAAATAACCCAAACGCTCGTGCAACTGGAAGACAGCGCAAAAGGATGCGCGCCCAAACCTCTCTGATTAGAACAAGATCAGATCGTCACACCTGAAGGGACTAACATGCAGTTGTTTTTGCATACTTACAGGTGAATACACAATCATGACGGCTCACTTCCACCTGAAGAGGAAGATTGGCTACTTTGTCATCCAGACCTACCTGCCCTGCATCATGACAGTGATCTTATCCCAGGTGTCCTTTTGGCTCAACCGAGAATCTGTGCCAGCCAGGACAGTTTTTGGTGAGTGCCTCCAAGCAGAGGCTGGATGTTGGAAGCTTGCGACTCACCCGAACTGTTCCCAAAAAAACAAGCACCTACCTGTGCTACAGGTGTAGTGAGGACCTCAAATGTCTATGTGAGGCCTGTATGTTGAAGGCATCCGACCTCCACTATTGGGTGGTAGTGGAAGCTTTAGGAGGTGGGGCCTAAGGGGAGCAAGTTAGGTCATTGTGGGGATATGCTGGAAGGGGCAGTGGGAGTCAGTCTGGCTCTTCCAATCCTTCCCACCCTGGATTCTACAAGGTAAGAAGGCTGGTTCCATTTGATATTCCCACTACCTTGCCCCCAAATCAAGGGAATTAGCCAACCTTCAAAACCAGAAGCCAGAACCTTTCCTATGTTGAAGTTGATTATAGTCACAGAAAGCTAACTAGCACCAAACCTCTACTGCTTCCTTGTGCATTCTGTGACCTGGCAAGAAACCTGACTAATTAGTAAAGACTTTAAAGCTAAGTAGGATTTGGGACTTCTCCCTGAATGAGTTTAGGAAATAATACTCGAATATTTCTATTATGAAAATGAATTCACATACATATATAAAATCTACCTATGATCACCTTTCATATCTATATCATGATATAGATATATAGCTATGACATGTCTATGTATATGCATCATAATATATGACATCAATTTGATATCTACATATCTATATGCGATATAGATATGAGATGATATACATATGATATATCATATATCATATGTATATATATCATATATATACACATATATAGATATATCTATGCAGTACATGTGTCATATCTATAAATCTATAGCATATATATGATATATGATATCTATATCAAATCTATATGATATAGATATATCAACTCAATATATATGAGATATATATCATATAGATATATAGATGCGATGCATATATAGATATATATTATGTTAATATTATATAAATATACTGATATATAGATATGCTATAGATGTCATATCACATATATCATATATGTATATAGCAATATAATATATATCAGACATCTTATATACATATATAGATATGATACATATAATACATATATTTTTTGTGCATGTATGCTTCTGAAACTTGTATCAAGAGCATTGTGCATGCTGGACAGGTGCTCTATTACTAAGCTACATCTCCAGCCTGGGTACAGTAGGGTTTGCACAATGTTCTTTTGTAAGTTACCAATTAAGAAGTGTGCATGCTCCTTTCAAATCCATCACTGAGTGTCAATTGATACACTGTATGTAATATGAGAGCAATAAACTGGATACACATGTGTGCACACATTCACACAGTCAGTCCCCGGGATCTCTAAGTGCTGCACGTTCAAATTTAGCCAAGCACAGATGGAGAATGTTGGAGACGAATTCTGTCTGTCCTGAACATTCCTGGACTCTTCTGCTAGCATCCGCTGTAGGGCAATGAATGTATTGCATGGTACAAGCTTTAAAGGAATGCAGGGATGACCTACACAGGTTATTTCACAGGAGGAGCTTTCCTTAGGGCTTGGGACCTAAGAAGTCCCTGGAGGCAATTCCTGTGACCACTGAGGTCAACCATGCCTGAGCGTCTAGAGAAAAAGTGGTTCACATCCCTCAGATGTTCGGCATGGAAGAGGAGGAGGCTCCTCTCCCAGTGGACAGCGTTGAAGGCTTGAGGCCTCTGGGTTGAAGTCTCAACTTTCTTGTACAGTCACAAAATATCTGAAATAATCAACTTAAAAAGAAAAAGGAGAGTTTTGGCTAGGCAGGGGTGACTCACAGCTGTAAGCCTAACTATTCAGGAGGCTGAGATCTGAGGATTGCTGCTCAAAGCCAGCCTGGGCAGAATAGTCTGAGACTCTTATCTACAATAAACTACCCTTCTCCCCCCAAACACTGGAAGTGGAGCTGTGGCCCAAGTGGTAGAGCACTAGCCTTGAGCCAAAAGAAACTCAGGCACAGCGCCCAGGCCCTGAGTTGAAGCCTCAGGACTGGTGCTGAGGGAGAGGAAGAGAGAGAACTTTATTTTGACTCACAGTTTTGGAGAATTCAGTGTATTAGTCAGTTGGCTTTGTGGTTTGGTATGTGTGGTAAGATAGCACTTCATGATAGGGATGCTTGGTGCAGCTTTTGACCTCTTGCTCCAGTTGTGTGTGTGTGTGTGTGTGTGTGTGTGTGTGAGAGAGAGAGAGAGAGAGAGAGAAAAATAGGGTGAAAAAGAAACAGAGAAAGAGAAATAGAGAAATAGAAATAAAGAGGAAGGGTGAGAGGGACAGACACAGAAGCCCTTCGGGGCCTGCGGTGAGTCTTCAGTGACCCGAAGCGCTGACACCAGGCTCCACAACCCAAAGGGTCCACCACATGCCAGTAGCATCCCCAGGTAGGGATCAAGACTTTCTCTGGGGAGCCTTTGAGGGGTGCTAATCCAAACAGAAGCTCCCCCTTTCCTCCCATTCCAGAAGCGATACCGGATTAGAGGGTCCCCCCTGCCCCTCCTCCTGCTCCTCCACAGCTGGGCTGTAGCGGGACCTGGGGACCCTTGATGAGCTGTGTCCCCCTCTGGTCCCACAGGGGTGACCACAGTGCTGACCATGACGACGCTCAGCATCAGCGCTCGGAACTCGCTGCCCAAAGTGGCCTACGCCACGGCCATGGACTGGTTCATCGCGGTGTGCTACGCCTTTGTCTTCTCTGCCCTTATCGAGTTTGCCACGGTCAACTACTTCACAAAGAGAGGCTGGGCCTGGGACGGCAAGAAAGCCCTGGAAGCAGCCAAGTTCAAGGTAATGGCTAGGTAGTATATATAATCATATATATAACATATAACATATATAATATATACACACGTTATATGTAATATAACATATGTTATATATAACCATATAATATATAACATATAATATGTATATGTTACATGTATTATGTATAATTATATACTAATGCATATCACATAATATATAGAATAAATGTCTATATGATTTTATATATAATCATATATTACATAATACGTGTAATTACCTAGAATATGGTCTAAAATTATATATTATAGATTAATAATATATATGATGTGTAATATATATGTATAATAATATAACTATATAATTATAGATTATATACTTGTATAATGTATTTTGTAAATGTATAATGTGATTATATAATATATAATTATATAACATATAATTATATAATATAATCTATAATATATAATAATATATACTATATAATATATAATCTATTCTATATAATATAATATGTATAACATAATATAATCTATAATTACATATAATTATTAATATATTATATGATGTATAATTATATAACTTGATATAATTTGGACTTATGTACCTTCAGCTTATTTTTTCCATTAAAAATAGCTTTAAGTAGTTGCACAAAGAGGTTTCAATTCAACACTTCCGTTTGCAAGTACAACTTTTGTCCTCCTCCATCTCTCCTAACCCCACCGACCCCTCAAGTTACCCCATTTCATTTTGTCATAGGTACATTGAGTATGTGAATGTATTCCACTTCTGGTCCTCTCTTCATTAGTCTGTGTCACTGCCCTTAAACCCCAACTTCCTCAGACAAAACATGTTTCAGCTTCCTAGTATTCATTCTGTAAAACTATCAGATAATTGTTGAAAGGTGTTTCATCATTGAAATTCTCACCTGACTATCCCATACTTTGTGTGTGTGTATGTGTGTGTGTGTGTGTGTGTGTGTGTATGTGATATGTGTTCCTATATCTTTATACTGTAGATCTAATTTCCACTGATGAGAGAAAACAAGCACCCTTTGTCTCTCTGAGTCTTTCTTCACTTCATATAATTTTCCCCCTCAAGTTCATCCATTTCCGTTCTAATGACCTAATGGTATTCTTCCTGATAGATGAGTAAAATGCCATTGTATAAATAGACTACATTTTCTTGACCCACTCAACCATTGAAGGGTATTTAGGCCAAGCTATGATGCTTATATTGTTTTGGCCAAAATAATCTCTGTCTCTTCAGAGAAGATTTGTGCAGGTTTTAATCCTATGATTTGCTCTTGCTCATTCTTTTCTATTCCTTCCTCCTTTCTTTCTTTTTTAATGCTCTTACTCATTCTTTGTGTGACCTCTTCAAGCTGTCATTCCAGGCATAAAGAGGAGAGTCATATGGCAACAGTCATCTGACAAACCACCCAAGCCTCTCTCTAAACGGTTTGGGTCACTTGAACCAGGCATGTTCACTTTTTGGTGAGAAGCATTATTCATTTGCAAACCATGAATCACCAAGTACTTGTGCCTAAATCGATGACAGAGCAATCACTGCGACACAACTTGAGCTGAATCATTTCTTTGGTGAGATGAGATTCACTTCTATGGATAGAAAAGTGAAAACAGCCTACAATAACGTGGCTAATTACACCACACATGGATCAAAGACTCAAATCCTTTGTCCTGAGAGGTGTGGAGACAGGTCCTGTCTGACAGACTTGAAAGGAAGTGTTAATCTTGTCTGCAGGAAAATCATCATGAAGGTGATCAATTACACAGGCTCACCTTCCCAACAGGGGCTGGGTACCAATCAGCAAGCCAGACACTTTGGCTCCGGGGAGGGCACCCGGGGCTGCCCCAGCCACAGCACTTGCTTGGTGGTTCATTACACACTGCACTTCCTTTCCTAAGGAAATTCTTCCCACTTCCATGTCCAGCTTCCCACTCTGAAGGAATGATTGGCAGGATCTGTCCTCCTATGGAAGAGGAGACAGAAAGTGATGGGGGAGGGGCTTAACAAGTGGAATAATGTACAGTGTGTGTGTGTGTGTGCGTGTGTGTGTGTGTGTGTGTGTGTGTGTGTGTGTGTGTGTGTGTGTGTGTGTGTGAATGCCAGTTCTGGGGCCTAAACTCAGGGCCTCATGATCTTACTTGGCTTTTTGGCTCAAGGCTGGTGCTCTACCACTTGAATACATTTCCACTTCCAGTTTTATGTTAGTTCATTGGAGATAAGAGTCTCTTGATACTTTTTTTCTTTTTTCTTTTTGGCTTGGGTTGGCTTTTTGATCCTCAGATCTCAGACCTCCAAGTTGGCTAGGATTGAGCCACCTCATGAATGTGAATGTGCCACCAGAGCCACATGATCTATTGTGTGTGTGTATGTGTGTGTGTGTGTGTGTGTGTGTGTGTGTGTGTGTGTGTGTGTAAGAGAGTGAGAGTATGTGTGAGAGTCCTGGGTCTTGAACTCAGGGCCTGGGATAGCACTTTTTTTTGCTCAAAGCTAGTGCTCCTCCACTTGAATAATGCCTCTACTTCTGGCTTTTCTGCTGGTTCATTGGAGATAAGAGTCTTGAATTTCTCTGCCTGGGTTGGCTTTGAATCATGATGCTCACATCTCAGCCTCCTGAGTCGCCAGGACTACAGGGCCTGAGCCAACACACCTGGCTGCTACTAAGTCTCTTAGTGGAAGCAGTTAGACTTGATCCTGGTGATGGCTCCTTGAGGTTGGCGGTCTAGGAACGAGAGTGGGGTCTGGGAAGAAGAGATTGCCCGGTACCCTACTCCATGTGGCCGGAAGGGAGATGTTTGCCAGCTGGGATGGTGGCCACACAATGATAGATTGGAGCTGGCCAAGATGGAAGTAGAGAGGGTGTGAAGAGGCCATTGCACTCATGGAAGCTATCAGGCCCATCCTGAGTCCAAGAGGAAAGTGGAGCAGGTGAATGTAGGCCTTGCGGAGAGGAAGAAGATAGAGGTTAGTATAGAACTCGCTGATCCTTGCCCAGTCCATGTCTTCTGTTCAATGCACCCTGGTCAGTCTTATGGAACTTCTATGTAGAGCCCTTCTACCTTTCAGGAAGATTCTCTGTGTGGAAAACATCAAGTTTCTGGGCAGGGCATAGGTCACTGTCAAAACTTGGGTAGAGAGTGTGAATGAGTAAGTCTGGTGTTAGTCTATGCTTGGAAACGTGAATGAGTAAGTCTGGTCTACTCTTTCCAAGTCTACACTTGGAAACCAACAATGGGTGAGAAGTAGAGACACTCTGAAAAAAAAATAGACTACGTTCTCTGTTGCTCTATACTGGGATCTTCTGAAGCACATGTTGGATCAGAGTTTGGGGATGCAAAGTGTAGTGTAATAGGACCAGGCAACTCAGAGAAAGAACCAAGAGGAAGTGAGATGGGGCAGAGGAAGAAGCTGTGATGTTGTGATCGAGGCCTGGCAAGGTCAAAGCCTTTTAGGAGTGTGGCCAGTCCCACCCATCATCAGCTGTCAATGGCTTCTGGAGGAATGGGGTTCAGAACGGGCAGCTTGCTCTTTGCAGCAGGGCTCGTCCCAGAAGGACCGCTGGCCACATCTATGCAGCCTGCCCTTCCTGATGGGAGCCCCAGGGACACCCCAACCACTTGGCTCTTGTGTTGCTGCTCACTTCTGCTGCTCATCTCCTCAGATGAAAGGTACATGTCATCAGCACCCCCAAAAGAGCGATGGATTCCATATCCTTGGATTCAACTAAGAGTAGCTGTTTGTTTGTTTCTGGGCCCATCCTGGGGCTTGAACTCAGCATTCAATGGAATGCTGCCTGGACAGGAAATCTATGAGACTCTCATCTCTAATTAACCACCAAAAAGCTGACATGGAACTGTGGCTCATGTGGGAGAGTGTCTTCCTTGAGTGTAAAGGCTCAGGGACAGTGTCCCAGCCCTGAATTCAAGCCCTAGAACTACTGGTGTGTGTGTGTGTGTGTGTGTGTGTGTGTGTGTGTGTGTGTGTAAACCAACAATGACATTCCTACAAAGAAGAAATGCTAGTTGGTGACAGGATGCAGACAGCAATGACGATACTTCTAGAAGGAGGATGCTGAGTGAGCTTCCTCTCATCCCACCATCCCAAAGGTGCATACGGTGCCATGATATTTCATCATCTTTTCTTTCTTTTCTCTCTTCGCCATTCCCTAGCTTCCTTTAAAGCCAGCTATGTCACTCTCACAGGTACCCTTCCAGTAAAGAGGGAACACTTGTTAGAAACGTCTTAATTAAGTTTATGCCAGGTGTTTACAAAATGCCAGACATTAATATAATAGATGACTTTTGCTCCAGTTGTGTTGTCCATCTCCTGGCCCTGTAGGCTTTTATTGTTTTTTTTTCTTTTGTTTTCTTTTTGCTAGTCTTGGGACTTGAACTCAGAGCTGGGGTGCTGTCCCTGAGATTTTATATATATATATATATATATACACACATATATATGTATATATATATACGTATATATATATACGTATATATATGTATATATATACATATATACATATATATATATATGTTTTTTATTGTAAAAATACTGTACAGAGGGGTTACAGTTACATGAGCAAGGTCATGAGTACATTTCCTATCAAGCATTGTTACTTCCTCCTTTGTTTTTCCCCTACCATCCCTTTCCTCCCACCTCCACAACTACCCACCCCCCCTAAATTGTAAAGTTCATTTTCAACATACTGTCTTGTACATCTCATTGTTACAATGGGTCAACCTGTATCCCTATTTAAACATTTTGTTTTTTCCCTTCCCCTTCCCAAATTAGAGAAGTATATATACAAGATGCAGGGCACTGACATCAAATACAGTGAAAACAGGAGTTATACAATGGGGGAGGAACATTCAAAGCAACAAAAAAATCAGATGGTACATTATAAATATGTTAGAAACAATAGCAAGCAAGAAAAAAAAAAGCTTGTGTCTCTATCTTGGGGTTCATTTCGCTTAACATCATCTTATCTGGTCATATGTACATAGCTTTTGACCTTTTCTGCTTGTCCCAGACATATACTAGTTATTGCAAATAAATCCCTGAGATTCTTGCTCAAGGCTAGCGCTCTACCACTTTGAGCCATTTCTGGCTTTCTCTGAGTAGTTAATTGGAGAAAAGAGTCTCATAGACTTTCCTGCCCAGGCTGGCTTCAAACTATGATCCTCAGATCTCAGTCTCCTGAGTAGCAAGGATTACAGTTGTGAGCCATCAGTGCCTGGCTTAAACAGGGTTTGGGTTTTTTATTATTATTGTTGTTGTTTTTGATTTTGTTGGTCATGAGCCTGAACTCAGGACTTGGGTGCTATCCCTAAGTTTTTTTGTTCAAGTCTAGCACTGTACCACTTTAAGCCACAGCTCCACTTCCAGCTTTTATTCTTACCTTATTGTATTATTTTTTTGCTAGTTGTACAAAGGCATTTTTTTTTATCAGTCATGGGGCTTGAACTCTGGGCCTGGGCACTGTCCCTGAGCTCTTCAGCTCAAGGTGAGCGCTCTACCACTTGAACCACAGCGCCTCTTCCGGTTTTCTGGTGGTTCATTAGAGATAAAAGTCTCACAGACTTTCCTGCCCAGGCTGGCATTGAACCATGATCCTCAGAGCTCAGCCTCCTGAGTAGCTAGGATTACAGGCGTGAGCCACTGGTACCAGGCGTACAAAGGGATTTTAATCTAACACATCAGTGTGTGAGTATGGCACATCTCCATCCATGTCACCTCTTCCATCATCCTCTCTCATCTCTCCCCAGCCCACCCATCCCCTCAAATTCTGTGTCCATATGTGTACATTACATATCATGAGTGCATTCATCTAGACGTCACCCTCTCCATTGGACTACCCACCCACTGGCGGCCTCAACACGTAATTCAGCTTCTTGCAATTCTTTCAACTTAGGCCTCCCTGGAGGCCTGATCTCTCCTAGAAATAATCTGATGTTCGATCACCTTTTCTTTCCTCCCTCCCCAGTGAGTCCATTGCCTGGCAAATGACTTGGTCCTTACATTCACCTTCTGTTTTGCAGAAAAAGGAACGTGAACTCATCCTCAACAAATCAACCAATGCTTTCACGACTGGGAAGATGAACCACCCCCCAAACATCCCCAAGGAACAGGTGTCGGCAGGGACCACCAGTGTGTCATCCGGGCCTGCAAAACTTCCCGAAGACAAGGCCTCTGACAACAAAAAGACTTACAACAGCATCAGCAAGATTGACAAAATGTCCCGAATTGTGTTCCCTGTCCTGTTTGGGACTTTTAATTTAGTTTACTGGGCCACCTATTTGAATAGGGAGCCAGTGATTAAAGGGGCCGTCTCCTCGAAGTAAGACACCTCCATCCTAAATCCCAGGAAGCCATACTTCCGGTCAAATGGTACCCAGGATAGGCTGGGCTCCAAAAGACTCTCTGTAATTTCAGCACTCTCTTTCAGGAAAAAAATTTTTTTGCATGTTTAATAATATGTACAAATAATATTGCCTTGATGTTTCTACATGTAACTTCAGATGTTTTGAAGATGACCCATTGGTAAAGCCAACAACTTTCTAGGAAAAAAAAATAAAATAAAATAAAAAACAGGAGGCTGTGACTGACAGACACTCAGTATCTTAACATCGATAGTTTACAAACAAGATAAGTATATTTTTCACAGTTCCAAGCGTTAATCTAATGATGTTTTTTATACTTCGAATGTCATTTCATACAAATTTTTTCCCAGCAGATAAATATTTTAGGAAATGCTCCTGAAGAATCCTAACTTGACCAACTGCAAGAGAGCACACTTCTTTTTTTTTTTTTTCTCTCATTAAGACAAAAAAAAACGATGGACATTTAGGTCCACAATTGCCTTCGATGATTCCTCCTGTTCCAAAATTAAGAAGAAAAAAAAAGTACTGCATGAGCCAGCATTAAGAAATAGAATAGGCAAACTATTTACACAGACAAATTTAATAACAGAAGTATGTAGTATATTAGATTTAGCAGATCAAGTATTTTCTCCAATGAAAATTTAACTCCTTAAAAAATTCTTTTTTGTTTTTTTTGAAAAGGAATGTATTCTCACTCTACCCTAACCTCTCCACTAACCAAACAGTGACCAAGAAAGATACAGAGATAATAAAACAAGTGGTTTGATGACATTCTTGACCTTTGATCCCACCTGTGCCTGCTGTTCTAAGACACCACCATTCGATGCCGCCAGCTTACAGTGCTTCAGTGGTGAGAACCTGTCATTGAGTTAATTTCCATTCTCTTTCCTTGTACGTTTCACGTTTGACTTATTGCTCTGTTAGCTTTTGTATATGACTCTTAAATGTTCATTAAAAAACTTAAAAAAAACCTGATACTGTATCCTAGTTGTTTTTTAATTTGTATTTTGCCCATTTCCTTGCCTACAAAAAAGTAACATAAAGGAAATCTATCATGAATTTGTTTGGGGAAAATATAAAGGAACACAAAATCTGCCTCTTCAAGTTGAGTGCCAGTGGCTTCCACCTCTAATCCTTGCTACTTAGGAAGCTGAGACCAGAGGATCGTGGTTCAAAGCCAGCCTGGGCAGGCAAGTCTAGAGATGGTAGTATCTACAATTGACCACCAAAAAAAGCCAGAGGTAGAGTCATGGTTCAAGTGGTAGAGCATTAGCCTTGAACAAAAAGAACTCAAAGACAGCTCAAGCCTTTAGTCTAAGCCCCATCATTGACAAAAAAAAAATTTATGTCCAAATAGCTACTTCAATAAACATTTTGAACATTTCAGTCTCAGAAGGAAATGATGCCATTTTTACCAAGTTGTAGTCATTTTCTCAACAGTTACAGTTTTCTGGTTACAGAAAACTCTTGCTGAGCTGTAGCTGGGCGCTGGGCCTTGTATTCTATGTGCTGCTAACCCTTTCACTGGAGGCATATTTATCGGGAAAAAAAATCAAAGTCATTTTTCACTGTCTAATTTTTGTGTTGCAGGTATTTCCCCGTTTGTTGTTTTTGAGGAGAACATAATAGAGAATCACCTTGGGGAGAGAATTGAAAGGCAAGAAATTAATTATAGTGCTCTACTTGGCTAGCCAGGGTATGTAAATGTATTGCTTTTGACATCACCACAAATAGAATATTCTAAGTGAGCCCACAATTAGTATTAGTTCTGTTCTCTTCTTTGTTTCTTTTTGACAGTCATGGGGCTTGAACTTAAGGCCTAGTTGAGTGATTACATATTAAGAATGGCCTAGAACATTTCTTTTTGTGTATGTACAGGTGTGTGTGCACATACATGCATGTGCACACACACACACACACATACACACATACACACCCCAAAACAAAAAGCCAACACCAAAAAACAAAAAGTACTTTATATCTGGGTCTCCTGTAAGTCTGTGATGTTATAAACATGACTTAATGGAATGATTTTGTGTTATAGTAACACTCCCTGAAATGGGGTGGGGGGACTAAAGGGGAGAGAAGAGGGGAAAGGGGAGAGAAAAAGAGGAAGAGAGAGACACAGACAGAGACAGAGAAGATGGGGAGAGGTAAGGAAGGGGGAAAAGAGAATATATATTTAGAGAGAAAGAGATAAGAGAGAAAGATATCACTAACTTTCTGTAGCCAAGTGTCATTTTTCTCTTCTTTTGAATTCAGGGCCTCACACTTGCTAGGTTGGTACACTATTAGTTGAACCACTCTCCCATTTCCTCTGCATTGATGTTTATTTTTAATTTAAATTTAAATTTTTGCCAATCCTGGGGCTTCTTCAACTCTGGTCTTAGATGCTGTCCCTGAGCTTTTGTGGTCAAGGCTAGCACTCTGCCACTTTGAGCCACAGCTTTACTCCTAGCTATTTGTGGTTTACTGGAGAGAAGAGTCTCATAGACTTTCCTGCCCCAGGCTGGCTTTGAACCATCATCCTCAGATCTCAGTTTCCTGAGTAGTTAGAATGACAGTCATGAACCACCTGGAATGACAGGCATGCATCACCACACCTGGCCTGGAGTTAAATTCGTGGATGAGGTTGCTCCTTCCAGGCAACCAATTAGAATGATTTATGATGGCTTTGTCAGGCCTTCATAAAGGAAACTCTAATTATGATGCTGAGTCTTTTACTCTATATTAACCTCCATTGTCAGAACTAACTTCATATATCAAAGTACTTTTTTCTTGCAAAAATTGGAAATGCCATGGTTAGCTCTGGGGGGAAAATGGTAATTTTCAATATTTAAAAATTAGTCTGAATATCTTCTTTAAAAAAATAATCATAGAACATTTAAGATAATACCATGAGGAAACATGGTGAGTATTTGAATATGAATTACTCTGATCACAGCAAATACTTAGCTGGTTTGCAGGATTGGAAAGGGATGAAAGATATGTGCCAAAAAAGATTCGTTTCATCGGAGGTTTGCATGATTACATCTCTTTGTCACCATCCATTTCAAGAGCCTATCTGAACACCCAACTGAAATATCCTGTCACCTATTTTTGATCTAAGCATGGGTTCTTTTTGGAAGCTGGAGCTTCAAAATATATCTACCCTTCCAAACTTCTATAATGTCAAAGTCTTTTTTTTTTTTCAGAAACAATGAAAGGCCAGGTGTTGGTGGCTCACCCCTGTAACCCTCACTACTCAGAAGGCTGAGATCTGAGGATCATGGTTCAAAGCCAGCCTGGACAGGAAAGGCCACGAGAATATCTTAATTAACCACAAAAAGACAAAAACAAGTGGAGCTGTGGCTCAAGTTCAGCCTGATTGGGGTTATTGAAGTTTCCCATTGGCTTTTTTTTTTCCTTTTTGGTGATACTAGAATTTGAACTCAGTACCTCAGGGTTGCTAAGCCAGATGCTCTATTGCAGATCCTGGCTTCTAGCCCTTTTTTGCATTTAAAACTATTTTATTTCATTTTTTGTTGCCTTTAAGTAGTGGTACAACACAGTTACCATTCAGCCAACCATTGTATGTGTAATGCACCTTGAGACAGGCTCTTACTTCCTACGCAGGTTTGTGTGCCTGGACTGTGATCCACCTATTATGGGCTTCCATTGTAGCTGAAATGAAGAACATATTCGACAACACTCAGCCCAGTGAGATGAGTCTCATGGACTTTTCTTCCTTCACTGACCCTGAAAAAAATGCCTCTCTCAATCTTAGCCTATTACATAGCATCAGATGACAAGTACATGACAATATGCCCACCTATGGGCTGGTCCCAACCATGATCCTTCTATTGTAGCCTCCCAAGCAGCTAGGATTACTGGTGCGAGCCACTGGCTTCTTTGATGGGCTTGAATCACAGGGCATGGTGAAGAGACCCTCTGTTTAGACATCCCCACTATCACTGCTTAGTAACAACCATGTGTTCCCTTCATGGCCAGGATTAATCACCATTACTGTAACTATGGGGCTGGATGGTTAGAGATGCAGGGGGGGAGGCGGAGGGGGGGAGGGAAGAGGAACAACTACCAACATGTTAGTGACAGGGTGGTACGGGGAAGGGTATGCGGATAGACTTCTTAGCGCATGCACACTCTGTGTACACATTCGTGTTTCTTGTGATACCTGAGAACAGATGACTTTGGTAGAGAATGATGTAAGGAATCGGCAGATGGAATAACCCATTCTGTGGATGCTGCTCGGCCTGGCCCTCCAGCCGCCCTTCTCACCACCCAGAGGGCTCATGAGTCAGTGGCGTCATCAGGGAGCGTGTTGGAGGCCCGTCTCTGTAGCAGACCAGCTTCATGGAAGACTTGGTGGTCACAGTCGTCAATAGTTTGTGCAGACTCATAATGAAGTCAGAACACTCTGTCCCCAAGCACGCACACCCTGGGCTCTCTTTTTCTTTTCCTGTCTTCCATCACCACCAAGGAGCGGAGCCTCTAAGCCAGCATCTCCCTTCCAAGGTCATCACCATCTGCCCCAATGGCCCCTCCATTCAGCTCCTCTTGTTTACTGAGAGTGCTCTGTATGTATATAGCGGCAGAGACAGAGGCCAGGCTTGGGCTGAGGGCTATGGATTTCCATTAGTCTGGCTACAGTCACTACTGAGTGTTTGATATGCCAGTGAGAGAAATTAGTACACCTTTCTAGAGACGGAACCCTGGCATGACTAGCCATCCATGCAGCAGCAAATTGATTATACTGGACTGTTTCCATTATAGCCTGGGTGGTACCAATGGAGTTGCCTTCCCTGAACATGGTGCTGCTTCAAGGACTCCTAGAATGCCTCACCAACGGTCACAGAACATCTCCACAAAATTACTCCTTTTACAAGTAGTCTACTTCACCCTGCCACCTTCTACTTTCTAGACCCAGGAGGCCTACCTTTCAAAGCTCAGCTGTGGCCCTGGGCAGGGAGAAATATCTTGCAGAATTTAGCTGTTTTCTGTCTTAAACCTTGGCCTCTACAGGTTTAAAGGTCTCCATTTCAGAGCAAGAAACAGCTATACTGAACAGGCCAGTGGTAACTGGATCATCCAAAACAGTCACCTTAGGGAATTGAACTTTGAAGATACATCTAAAGCACACCAAAAGAATGTGTAAGCATGAATCGATATAAATAAAAATTATGCACACAAAAAATAAGTTCTCACACAGGAAGCTACTCATGGAAAAACACCAACCAACCCAAAGAAAACACAGGTAAATAAGGATAAAAGCAGGATTTAACTATGCAGTGAGTGCCAAAACAACAGATGTAATTAAAGAATCAAAACTTCGGTGATTTATAAAACAAAA